GATGCGGGTTTCGATCAAGTCGTTTTTTTTTACTTTTCGAACCATTTCTGCTGTTTTTTTTCGTCCACTACCTTGACGTCGGTCTGCGGTATCAGTATCATGATAACGAGCGACAGTACGAGACACAAGAGATTTTTTCACATTTAAATGCTGGAGTGATCTAACGATAACCACCTGTGGTTTTACAGCCAAATATAAAGAAATTACACTATCACGCTTGAATTCCATTACGAATAACTTTTTTTGTGGAAAATTCTCACCAAAATGTTTTTGTACGCTTGTAAACAATATAATGAGCTGGAATAATTCCAACGGCTATCGGACGAGTGATTTAGAAATAACAGCAGTATATTTTTTTGCATATGTACCATTAATGCAATTTTTTACATGTTTTTTACAATTTTTTCCAACAAATGTTAATGCCAGGATAAAAATCTTTCAAGTGCCAATTTTTTAATATTTATTTAAAAAATCTATAAAATTTATTTATTTTTTTTTTTTTGGTTTGAAGTTAGAATTTTTGCATTTGTAAGCTAATGAGGCGGCATTGTTCACCCCCAAAAAAGAACAAAACTGACATCTGAATATTTGCATTTCATCTTATTTGTATTTCAATTTATGATCTTTAAGATGCTATGCCTTAATGCTTGCTTTGTTGCTCTTGCTTGTGTTTTTTTTTTCTCTGCATCTCAAAAAGCAAAAGGTGGGGGTATTGTGTTCACTCGGCTTGAAATTTTATCATTGACATTAATGTCGGTTGGTCGTTTTTATCTTTTGTTTATTAAGTTTTGAATTACCGCCTTATTTATTTTGTGTGTGAGTGTTTTTTTCTCTCTTGTGTCGGCTTGTGAAATGGCTGTGTCTACCGTTGATGATTATGAAGTAGATGAAGATGACACTTTTTTTTAAGTAAAATTTTGTATTTGTTTAAATTTAAGTTGAAAAAAAAAAAATTAACAATGCGAATTGTATAATGATATATTATATTTTATTGTATACACAATGAATATGGAATATGAAAAATACTAAAGCATAGAAAAGCCTTTGGTAAATACATAAATCCAGAGAGACAGATGGAAAGGCATTGGGATCACAAACCACATACTATAAACCTTTAAATCCTATTGAAATTGTTTTTCTACGTAAGATAATAAATATAGCTAGATTCGATTTTCAGAGACGAAAAACGGAAAAAAGGCTATCTTTATATTATACATATTATATACACGCGTACGATGTTTTCAACACAGTTAATTCGATTTGATATTTTAGCTGACCCTTAAAAAAAAAAAAACATAAAATTGGGAGGCATTTTATTTGGAACTGCATCTAAAAATTTTTAAATCATTTCATCTAAATATTCGAGAGACTGGTTTTGAAAGGGTGACTTTTAAAGCTACAGGAAAAAATAAATAAATAAAATCTGAATTGACATCGACATAATTTAATGATTGAAGATTATTTCATATAAATGTTGACCTCAAATGGTTCATCCACTTATTCCTATTTTGGCATATTTTTTTCAACATTTCGGCCGGTATCTCACGATTAAATGCTTCAATGTTGTCTTCCACTGCATCAATTAAAGCAGACTCTTCCATATAGACATGAGGTTTTACGTAACCCCACAAAAAAGAAGTCTAAAGGAGTTAAATCTGACAATCCAGGCGGTCAACTGACAGGTACCGAACTAAAATAAAATATTCACCCCACTCACCCCTCAATAAGTTCATTGGTACGCATTATAACATTTTTACGCTTGCATTATAACATTTTTAGACAAAAGTCTCTTTTGACCAAATTTCAGTACTCGAAGGGAGTATCCGATTTGGTTCAAACTTGGTCTATCGTAATATTATTATCAAAAGTATATTGAGTCTGGAGATGGGCAATATCGGTCTACACCTTCTGGTTCCTCACCCACGAAAGATCGAAATTTCAAAAAAAAAAAAAAAAAAAAAGAAATATTTTACTGCACAGAAAGAGAAAGGATAATCCAATTTTGCTTCAACTTTGCAAATCCTAATATTTGCATCAGCGTTAATATTTGCATGGACAATATCGGTCCACTCCATCAAGTATCTCCCCCACAAAGGGTCAAATTATTATGTTATGTAAAAGTCCGATTGTCTTCAAATTACACACATCACAATTTTTTTATCAACCCATGGTGTGGTGTGAAAATGGAATATATCGGTCCACTACTTCTGGTACCTCCCCACAAAGGGTCAAAAATTTGAAAGTACATGAAGCTCATAAATCGCGAAATTAACTTTCGATTCCATTCAGAATTGGCACATCTCAATACAGGGTTGCCCATATTCGACGGACCCACCTGGCAACGCCATAACTTTTGACAGAGATGTCACTTCGCTTAATGACATACCGCGTTTGAAGCGTCAGTCCAAGCAGATTTTTACCATGAACCAATACACGCCACGCGAGCGCTCTGAAATAGTTGAAATTTACATTCAACAGAAGAAGTCAATTGTGAAAAAAATGTGAGAAGTGCGCCTTCTATTAAGCGTTTATACGAAAAATTTTCGACTGGTAAGGCTCTTTCTAATCCGAAGAGGCCGTTCTCAGCAGTTGTGCATGGCTCCACTTTACAACGGATTATTCGCATTGATTTGCATTTGTTCCCGTACAAAATTCAATTGACGCAAAGAATGTTGCCTGCGGACAAGCCTCGTCGATTGGAATGGACCCAAAGGGCCCAAAGGTCCGTCGAATATGGGCAACCCTGTACTTCTATCAACACAAGATCTATATCTATAAAAGAGAAAAATGTTTGTTTATTCATCATCACAACTCCTGAAAGTAATCTAGGCCAAGAAAAATTTTTTGAATTTCGACATGGAACTGGATCTATAGCAAATTTTTCGGAGGTACCTCCCAAAAATTTAATATATTTATGCACATATCTGTTGATCGATTACAGATACAGTCTCCAAATTTGGAATGCGTAACGGTTCAGATTCGGATATAGCTCCCACATATATCTTTGGCCGATTTCATGTATTTGATGCATTAAACACGCTGGGTACTTCACATTTCAATGAAATTTGGAATTAGTCTAAATTTTTTTTTTGCCAAATTATATTGTAATCTTTTCAGATGTGGATACAGTTCCCATATAAATTTTCGGCCGATTTAATGTATTTGATGCACATAATACTACACTATGTATATCAAATTTCAATTAAATTTAGAATGTGTAACGGAATTTAAAACGAACATAAATTTATCAAATTATATTGAAATCGGTTCAGATTTGGATATAGCTCCCATATATATTTTCGACCGATTTAGTTTATTTGAAACACAAAACACGACATGATTGACTAAATTTGGTACAAAAATAAATTTACCAATTTATATTGAAATCGGTGCCGATTTGGATATAGCTCGCACATAAATATTTCGGTCGATTTCATGAATGTTACACACCAAACACAAGATGTGTGTCCGATTCCAATGAAATTTAGAATGTTAGGCAGAATTTGGTTACAATAATAAATTTGAGAAATTAATTGGAAATCGGTTAAGATTTGGATATGGCTCTCATATATATTCTCGGCTGATTTCATATATTTGATGCATCAAACACGGTATGTACCTCTAATTTCAAGGTGTGACAGAATTTGGTGTATAAGTAAACTTTGTCAAATTATATTGAAATCGGTTCAGATTGAAATATGATTTTATTAAGAAGCATAGACTAGACACAACGTATTTGCAATGGTATTAGGCTAACAGTAAAAGATACACAACAATTTAATTGAGGATACGATTATTACAGGAACGTATGTTGCTACCTCGAATTCTCTAATTGCAACAGAAATGCCACTTAACTTCAAATGATTGCGGCTTCCAATTCTTTGCTATGAAATTAATTAATCCCCAATTCAATCTCATGGGTTTAGGTATAAAAACTAGGGTATTTTGAGGGATCAGCATTGGGATAAATCAGAAGCTGGGGTTTTCCGATTAAGACTTTTAACTACATTACCAACAATAGTTCCCACTGCTAGTTTTAAATTAGTGAATTTAAATCCAATTTCAAATACAATTATCATTTATAAAAACTTTGACATTGACACCCGTACCAGTATATCCTTCATGTTCCCCATTTACCCCTCAAAATTCTGTGGAAATTATTTTCCATAAAATCACACAGAAAATGTTTTTGTTTTGAAAACATAAAAAACAACAACTGTGGAAATTTCTTTCGAAACTAGCCTTGAAGCTTTAAATGGAATCACATCAAGCAATGGTTTGCTTTGGTTTTTTTTATTATTTCTTTGTGGTTTAGTCCTGTTGATATATACTCTCTCTCACTCGATTCTGAGCAAGGATAAATGCTAATGGTTGACAAGGACACATTGTATGTTTTGGACATGGTGCCAATGTGTATGTGTGTGTGTGTGTTTTACCACAATCAAATAATGATTTATAAACATTGGATGTGATGTATTTTGTTTTTTCTTTTTTCTTTTTTCCATTTCATGTCTCCATGGTTAGATTTTAATATATATTAAGTTTTGTTGTTGGAGTTTATTATTTTCCCAAATATCACATCCGTTTTACCCATTTCACCATAACGTGTTTCTGTATAAATGAATAATTTATGTTTTTTTTTTTGCATTTGATTTATTTATGACAGAAGATAGAGCTGCTGGTAATGGATGCTGTTGGCTTGATTTATTGTTATTCTCCAAAGCAAGAATTGAGGATTTTTGTTGGCCACTTTGCCAAAATAATATGTACGTAATAACTAATTTATCCTATTTTTAGGTAGATTGAATGGGATAAACTAGTAGGTTTTGATATAGACAAAAACACAAACTTCATATGAGAACACACAAAATTGGGTTAGAGGCTTACAAAAAAATTGATAAGCCGGGGGAAGTTAATTTTTTCTTATAAGGTCATATAAGGAGTTTGAATCCAATTCAAAAATGTTTTTTTCCAATTGTTTTCGGAATTTTTTTACTTACTTTGTAAGCATCCGGTATATTCACAGGCTCACCACTCTCCGCCACATGGCCGGCAATGCCAGTACCCCAGGCAATCTGTACCTCATCCTGTTGTTCCATTTCCTCGACAGTGCTGCGCGGACACACATCGAAGAGTTTCGATACCAAACATCTAAAAAGAAATTAAAATTAAGTAAAAATTTTAAATTCGGTCTTGCAAAGTATAAAATAAATTTTATAATGCATTACTGCATTCATGGAAAGCTACACTGTGCAACCAAATTTCTACAATGATCAGATTGCTAAAAAAAGTTTTTTGTCATAAGAGTTATTTTAAAACAAGTTAAAAAGTATCAGTAGGTTTGGCCGGCAGATCCGTACCCTCAGCAAACGTTCGATTATTTATATATATTTTCTCTTCTGTAAGGATTATTCAAATGTTTGACCCTTCATGGAGTAGGTTCCGAAGTAATGTGCCAATATAGTCCATTTCGTATCGGACCTAAATAAATATCATATAAATATTGGGACGTGCCAGGTTTGGACTATATTGGATACATCCTTCATTTTATATGAAATGTACGTGGGGTACCAGATATAGTCAACCGAAGTATTCAATTTTCATACTTCATCTAATACAGATATAAATATTGGTATGGGCAAAATTACAAGAAAATAGAAAATTTATATCCAATTTTATGCGAAATAATCATTTCCATATGCATCTCAGATTTCTGGTTGAGAGAAATATTTGGATGTAGCAAGTTGTAAAAAATCGCTGACTTGTTTCGCCAGCTATGACATATATAAATATTTGAAATTATGCCCCTTTGTGGGTGAGGTACCAGAAGGGGTTTGCAGATATATATCATCTACACAACAGATCTTGTGTTATCTAAATTTTTTGTTTAATTTAAATTTGAAGAGATGAAATAAGTATCCAATTATTTCGTTTTCTTTTTCAAAATTTGAACCCTATGTAGGTAAGGTACCAGAAGAAATGGTCCGATCTCTACCACCTTTATAACAGATCTTGTGTTGATGAGAATATTGAGATGTGCCAAGTCTGAATGGGATCGAATGTTAATTTCGCGTTTTAAGAGCTTCGTGGATATTCAAAATTTTGACCCTTTGTGGGAGACGTACCAGAAGGAGTGAACCGGTATATTCCCATATTCACAGCAGATCTTGTGTTAGTAGAAATAATGGGATGTGTGAAATATGAAGATAACCGGACGATTATTTCGGATTTTATAATCGTTTTAGTTATTCAAAACTTTGAACCCTATGGGGGAGGTACCAGAAGGAATACTCCGTTCTCTACGATCTTTATAACACATCTTATGTTGATGGAAATATTGCGATGTACCAAGTCTGAATGGAATCAAATGTTAATTTCGCGTTTTATAAGCTTCATGCATATTTAAAATGTTGACCATTTGTGGGGGTAGATACCAGACCTTGGTCTAATAAAAATATTCTGATATGAGTAATTTGAAGATAATTGAATTCTTACATCACATTTTATATGAATTATAGTCATTAAAAATTTTTTGTATGGGAGGTACTTGATGAAGTCCACTGATGCAAATGTTAGGATTTGCAAAGATTTTGAAAATGTTGACCTTTTGTGGGGGCGGTACCAGAAGAAGTGGACCGATATTGCCCATACCAAGTTTGGACTAAATCAGATACTCCCTTCGAGAGTTATCGTGCGCACCAGCCAGTCAGCCAGACAGACAGATAGACGGACGTAAATTGCTAGATCGGCTTCAAATTTCCTGATTATTGGCTGCAGAGCTCTGATGATGGTTGGCCACTTCAGAGCTGTGATTTGACACCGTTGAACTATTATTTGTGGGCTTCCATTAAAAATAAGTGTTACGGCGACATGACAGAGACAATTGACGCTTTGAAGGACAATATTCGTGAGGCCATTGCAGAAATACAATTACAAACAATTGATAATGCACCAATCGTGTAGGCTACTGCATGGATAGCCGAGGCAGCCATTTGGATGAAATTATTTTCCATTATTAACCGGAAAGATTTAAAAAGTGAAAGCCCGAACAAAAGTTGGGTGGATATATGGAAAATGTAGTGCAGGATAGATGTACCAAAAGGTTTTTTTTTTTTTTTTTTTTGAAATTCGATCTTCAAGGTTACGAGAAGTCCTAGATTAGTACCATTTGGTATTATGTGAAGGGATAGAGGTAAAAACCTGAAATTTGCTACGAGAATGAAGGTTGGAAAGTAAGTTTGATATATGAAGTTGGTTTTGGAAATGTGTACTAAGAATGCGAACCGTACTAAATGGTACTAAACTTGGAACAAAAAAAAATATTCTACAACTAACTTCGTAGAATATTTTGACTTGCTAGGATGTTTTAAAAAAGAACCAAAAATACCCATTTCTGGGGTCGATTGAAGGTTAATATTTTTGAACAAAATATCCCTCGTATTTTCATCTGCAATATTGCCGTCGACATTATATAGCTAAAATGCAATGATTCCGAGGAATCTTAATCCGAAAAATCCGAAAAGTGTTCAAAAATGTCCATTTTTGGAAAAATTCTAAAAGTGTGGAACTAGCCCTCTCTCTTTAGGTTACTATGCGATGTCAAGTTTCAAAACATAGATATACTTTTCTTTTTTTGCTGTTCTTTCATAATCTACTAAATTTTTTCTGTATTTTTTTTTTTTTTTTTTTTTTGCACAGTCTTACTAATTTTTTTTTTTTTACCAAATGTTGGACGAAAACCAATTTATTTTTTATATAAAAACATAAATTTTTCCTTTTATACATTTAGAAACCCTTTTGATCTTCTTCATCAACTTAAATACATGGAATACCTAACGAGTTTCCTCCCTTTACGTTGCCCGTTAACCTTGACAAAAAAAAAGAAATCAAATGCCAAAAATTAGTAAATCGGAAAATTACTTTCATCCGAAAAGAGGAAAATCGACAGCAAAAAGAAGTAAATATCATCATCATCATCAAATCCATGGCCAACTACAGCAAGACCCATGAAAAGTGGACCAAAACGAGAAAACGACGAAAAAATGCAAAATGTCAGCTCAACTCAATAACAGTTGCATTATGCAAATCATTTCTGACACCAGGGAAACACACATTTAACCTCAAAGGTAAAGGGCAAAGGGAAAGTGGAAATTGTCATTGTTCTGGCAATGTTCATCAACACCAGTGGGAGTTGAGAATTTTCCAAAAGGTTTGGTAAAGCCCTCCCCCAAAAAGGAATCAAAATACTTTAAAAAATATTGTTTTCTTTTGAATTACTTAATTTGCAAAGAAATTTTGCACCCAATAAGGGAAAATTTGATAACCCTTCAAGGAAACTGTAGTGGAAAAACTATGTGCAGAAGAAACAAGATAATTTGAAAAGAAACAATTGTCTTCGTCAACAATTTGGTGGTAGTATAAAAAAATAGTAATGAAAACTTGAATGGACATCAACTTTGGGGGGATTTTTTTACATCTTATTTTAAGAAAAGTAAAAATTTTTGCGCGAGGGAAATAGTTTCAATTCAGGGACTTTGTTATGACTCAGCACAAAAGGGAAAATAAATTGTGCCAAAAAAAATTTATTTTTGTAGAAAACTTAAGAACCTAATTATAAGTTGGTGTACACTGGTTTCAGATGAGATCAATTTTAAAAGATAGCGGTTGGTTTTTCCGACAGATGTATACCCTCTGTCTATGTCAGTTTATTGAAACATATTTGAACATACATTATGCTCATTCAAAATGTTGACCCTTTATGGAGGAGATATCGAAGTAGTGGATCAATACTATCCACTTCTCATCCAAACGTGCCCGATTTGGGCTATATCGAGTACTTCCATCACTTTATATAAGATATGTGATACATTTTTTGGAAAATGTTGAAATATGCGTGAGGTACCAGTTATGGTGGACCAAAGCATTCCACTTCAAAAACAAGCTGATAAAAAAAAAATGTGGATGTGCAAGATTTGAAGAAAACCCGACATCTCCAACCAATTTTGGCAAAAATTATTTATTACAATGTTTCACATTTTGTGCGGGAGGCACAAGGAATTTTGTACGGGAACAAATGCAAATCAATGCGAATAATCCGTTGTAAAGTGGACCGAGCCATGCCGAACTGCTGAGAACGGCGTTTTTGGGATGTTCTTGGGGACCTCTCAACACTGGCTCGTACGGCAGCGATATTCTCGGCCGATCGCCTTGGTCGACTTTTATATGGCCTCTTCGGATTAGAAAGAGCCTTACCAGTCGAAAATTTTTCGTTGATACAAATTCCAACTTCACACATGGTTTTGTCTTAATACAGGGTGAGGTGAAAAAAATGCAACCAACTTCAGACTGCTGGTAAGCCGGTAAATTCCATATTCACATCAGATCTTTGATTGAGAAAAATATGTAGATATACCAAGTGTGAAAAGAATCACCGAATTGTTTCGGCTATTATGAGAGATATAATTGTTGCAAACCGTGAGCCTTTGTGGGAGAGGCACAAGAGGGGATATGCCTATATCTATAATTTTTACACAAGAACTTGCGTTAGAAAAAATATTGGGACACATGTAAATTGGAGAATCTGATACTTACATAGCATTTTAGGAGAGTTATAATTATTTCAAATAATGACCCTTTGTGGGGTCATTCTGACAAATTCCAACTTCACACATGGTTTTGTCTTAATACAGGGTGAGATGGTAAAAATGCAACAAACTTCAGACTGCTGTCATTTCTAAGCCACTCGTCCGATATCTGTTAAAATTATTCCAGTGACAGCTCATTATATTGATTACAAGCGTACAAAAACATTTTAGTGAGAAATATCCAGAAAAATGTTCTTCGTGATGGAATTTAAGCGTGATAGTGTGATTTCTTTATATATGGCTGGAAAACCACAAGTGGCTATCGTTAGAGCACTCCAGCATATGAATGTGAATAAATCTTTTGTGTCTCGTACCACCGCTAGTTATCGTGATAGCAACATCAGCAGAAATGGTTCGAATAGTAAAGAAGCGACTTGATCGAAACCCGCGTCGTAGTGGCCGAAAAATGCCTTGTGAGCTGAAGATATCGCAATATTCCATTCGAAAAATATTGAAAAATTAGCTCGGGGTAGGCCATTGAAATTCCAAAAAGTGCAAAAACTTACA